TTAGCGGACCAGAGCGTGCAAGGACCTAAATCAAAGTGACTTTCCCTATTATGAAGATACGGAGCAGCAAAACGTGAGTGAAGAAGTTTCGAAAAGAAAGACAAATGAAAAGTGGGTGTGGGAACTGGCAGAGGGACGGCAAAGCTCCACAGGCAGAAAGGGAGGGGGGAACCTCTCGGAGGGGGAGGAGGAACCCTACCCTAGAAATCAGCGTTAAAAGTATCAGAATGAGAAGCTAAGCCAAAACTCTACTGTTAGAAACCCACCCAATTGACTCTGAGCGCAGTGGGCTTTATTATACATCGCAGAGAAGAATCTTAGAACTTTTTAAAACTTTTACTTTAATGTAAACAATTCAGAGTTTGCGGAGAAAAATAATCTTCCAGGGGAAATATTTGTTAAATTTGCAAGAAGACCAACAAGAGATCTAATACTTAAAGCAACAACCGGGGCAATATGAAAAATCCTAGAGGAAGACATAAAAGTGCTGAAAGATGTTCCATTTGAAATACGGAAGAAGAGGAAGCAATACAGAAATATTACAACATTTCTCCAAGGAAACAACATTCAGTATTGATGGATTTTACCAGAAGGGCTTATTTTCAACTATAACGGTAAAAAGGAAAAAATTGACTCTCTCACCAAAGCAGATTCATTCTTGAAGTTCAACAAAGAAAAAGGAGAAAGCAGGGGAAGAGAAGGCCACAGAAGATAACAGGAGATAACTAGCGACAGTTCCTCTTCCACCTCTGTGTCTTTGGGTGAAATCTTCAACTCTGACTCTGATTCTGACTCTGAACTGGGAGTGGCTGCCCCCTGATCATACAAGATTAAAATCCCCTGGCAAAAGAAGAAAAAGCGTAAAGAGAAGAAAACACCTAAATGAAGATCTAAGATTTTTTTTCTATGTTAAGCTTTATAGAACATATATTATTGCTCATATGTGTTATTATAACCAATTAATATTTGTTCTTTTTATTTGAATACTTTATATTTGAAAGGTAAACGATATATTGTAACATAAATATATAGGGAAGTATCTAAAGCGAAAGATAGGTTATTATTGAGCCTTGCTACTCTGAATTTGTAGTGTGTAGTTATAGTATAAAAGCAATTAAAAAGTGTTTTTTTAAGTATATGTTATTGGAGTCTGAACTTGCTGAGACTGAGGGGGAAATCCAGTGTGCCACAGAAGTTAAAAGGGCAACCCTATATTGGGGATTATTAGGAACAGGATTGAAAAGAAAACAGCCAATATTATAACGCTCCCGTATAGATCTATGATGCAGCCTCATTTGGAATACCGAGTACAATTCTGGCCACAGTACTAAAAAAGGACATTACAGAGCGGGGAAAAACACAGAAGAGGGCAACAAAGATGATTAGAGGGTTGGAGCACCTTCCCTATGAGAAAAGGTTGAAGATTCCTGGGACTTTTCAGTTTAGAAAGAGATTACTAAATGGGGATATGATATTTATAACATTATGCACTGGGTGGAGAGAGTTGACAAAGAGAAATTTTTCTCCCTCTCCCAAAATACCAGAACTCTCAAGGGCATCTGGTGAAGCTGATGGGCAGTAGATTCAGGATGGACAAAAGAATATCTTTACACAGCCAGTGATGGGAACAGCAAGGAATTCACTGCCAGAGGATCTAGTGATGTTCACAGGCACAGACAGCTTTAAAAGGAGATTAGACAGATCCATGGAGGTTAGCTACTAGCCATGGTGACTAAGAGGAATTGGCACATTCAGAGGCAGTAAACCTCTGACTACCAGTGCCAGAAGGCAACTTCAGCAGAAGCCCTCAACCTCTATGCCCTATTGTTGGTCTTCCAGGGGAACTGGTTGGCTGCTGTGTGAGATAGGATGCTGGACTAGATGAGCACTGGTCGGATCTAGCAGGACTCTTCTTATGTTCTTATATCCCAATGGACTTTTTAGTGGGGGGCATAGTCTATAAAATCAGTTGTCACCATTCTACAGTAACGTTGCAATCCTAGTAACATTAATTTAACTTAGAACCTATAAATAAAAGAGCAACATTCTAGGCAGGTGAAGGACAGTCAGGAACAAACTCTTTTTTAAATTATGTTTTAATGAAAAAAATACATATGAATAGAAATGGAAGTATAACAAATAGT